TTGGAGGCTTATTGAGTTTCAATTACATTTAAACTTAAGTATTCAATGTCTTTTAATCTCTCCTGAGAGTCACATCCAGATGCATAGCTTTGGTGTAGTCAGGTAGGATTAGGGTCTGAGTCTGAGTGATCATTGACACTCAGGTTAATTGAATTACTTGCCCTAGATCCTGGGGCAGGCACAGTCGTTAGAATAAAGGACTCAAAAAAGAGCCCACAGGAACCAGGGGTAGTTCTGGTGGCTGCTGTTGGCAGGGATGACAGGAGCCATAGGTTGTAACTCCAGTGTTAACACTGAAAAAAGAATTTAAATACAAATGTTTGTGTATTTTATTAAAATTTTAACATTAATGGAGCAGTAATGGAAATTTAGAAAAATAAGAAAATAGCAGCTACATTTCCACTATCCTATCAAAATAACTCTTTTTCCTTTTCAGTATTGCCTTTCAGTCCTGGTGTACTTGGCGTCCTGGTATAACCAGAGGCTAAATGCTGGTCTGTGTTCTTTGGTCACCTACTCTGTCATAGGCACCTTCCCATGCTGTGTAGGCTGAGTGATCATGGTGAATGGTGCACACTTTCACTGAATAGATTTCATGTGATTTACTTAAAAATTTTCTCCTTTGTTGGACATCGTGGCTGTTTAAATAACGCTACAGTGAACATTTTTGGTCATAAAGACATTTTCTTTTGAAATCCATAGGCTAGATCCTGAGGAGAGAGATTATTGGGTCAGATAGTGCAAATATTTTATACTGGTTAATCATGCTGCCAAATTCATTGTCCAAAGGGCTGCTCATTTTGTGCCAAGAACAATGTTGGAGCTTTTTTGCATGTTGTTAAAAGACTTGTTTCCCATATTTATTCAATGTTATTGAACACCAAATGTGGTTTAGATACTGATGGAATTGTAAGATATAACTTCTGGAAGTTTTATTTTTCTAAGGAAGATGAAAAAATGTTATTCATGACAAAACACAAAACCATTTAAATCCAGAGCTAATAAATATAACTTGTTCTCAGTGCAAAAGATCTTTGTGAGATGGAGTAGTCAGGGAAACCTGCTAGAAGGGGCTGACACTTGAGTTGAATGAGAAGGGTAAGATTTGGGTAGGGTGACTTATGGATGAGTAAAGAAAAGCCTGGCCAGAGGGTCCTTTAATAGAGTTACAGTTTTTATTGTCAATTCTTACATTCTTTGCTGTTGGGTAATAGTTTTTTTGGTTTAAAATAGTTACCCCCTCGTCCCCTACTGCTATCATAAAAATGTTCATTCAGTTAAATTTGGATGGCAGAGGAAGGGGGGAGGTACACACACATGTACATGTGCACACACATACACATACATATAAAATTATATATATATATGATACATAATTTTTTTACATTATAGCTTATTCTTGGTAAGCATTTGGAATGGCTATATAACATTACATCAAGTGGATATGCTGTAATTTTCTTACATATCCCTCTATTATTAGACATTGTTGGTTTCATAATTCACTTATTCATATAAACACTGGTGCTTCTAGAAGAATTTTAGGCTGCTGTGGATAAAAAGATGTATCCCTGTGTAACATGTATACATCTTCATAAAGAGGTTACAGTATTTGGCAAGGAATGGAAGGGACTATGGTGGCAGGAGGGAGGGACTGGGATAAAGTACGCTACGAGTAGGACTTTCTAGCGAGTGGCAGGAACCCAGCTTGAACAAACTTTGGCGAAAAAGGAAATTTATTGCCTTGCGTAACTAAATTGCTGGAAGGACAGGGGCACCGGAACACTGCCAGGGCAGACTCTGTCTCTCTGAGAGCTGGCTGCTTTTTCTTACATCTACATACTCCAGTTCCAAGTGGTTGGACTCCTCTTTGCCATCCCTGCCGGGATCACATCTTCCCAGTTTTTTGCACAAGTGGAAGGAGGACTCTCACATTTTGCTACCCCTGCTGGCTTCTTGTCAGGATGGCCAGATGGGTAGGGTACTGAGAAGCCCAGCTTGGGTCACTTGCCCATTTTGGTTTGGCAGGAGTATGTGTGTGTGTGTGTGTCTGTGTGTGTGTATACATACCATCATTGGCAGCCTCCTCTAGAACCACATGTTTGGAGGGAGCCAGGTACCCAGAGGAAGTGATATTTTGTCTCAGGGCACTGGGCAGACCACAACAACAGCTGTGCACTCTGAATGCTTACCTCACGTGAGCATGCCTGTGACTTAAAATGTCCTGGCATCTATCTCATTGTGGCTACTTTGATGCATCAAAGTACATACATGTTTCTGACAAGATGATTTGGCTGTGTTTCCTCTTTTTTTTTGCATATACACTTAATCCCAGTTGTATCTCTAGTTAACTTTTGGTTATAGTCTAAAGATTTGGATGTGTCTATTTCACATGAATGTCTTATACCAGATCTTGGGGGTACTAGCTTATTCAGAGTCTGGGGAAACATGGTGGGGTGATATTTTTGCTTTATAGCACTAGGATAAATGCACAAGTAGAGCATAACCCACTAGCCTTGCAGACCTTGTTGTTTTGTTTCTGTTAACTAGGCCTCTTTATTTAACTAGAGCGCCTCCCATTTGCCAGCTGCTACTGGTGTTGCTTTTGGATTGAAACAGACCAATACCCAGACCTTTTAGTGGTCTTTATTTCTGCCCTGGCACAGGAAAGGAATCCATTCATACATTCAGCAACATTAGAACACTTCGTGCAGGCCTTCTACTAAGTGGGGGACAGTTCCGTAACAGAGATATGAACAAACTATGATAGGAACACAGAGAAAGAAAGTGGCTTGCAGGACCAGAGAAGGCTCCCGGGGAAAGTAACTGTTGAACTGGTTCTGAAGTTTGCCTTAAAGGTTAGTAGATAGGCAAGGGAGAGGGGAGTTTTGTACAGAAGGCGAAGATGCAGAGGTGGGAGAGAGTGAGGTGATTTTGGAGAAGAGTTTGGGGCTGTAGTGAAGGGTGGTTGCCTCTAGGGACATGTCAGTTCGGGAGCCTGTACTTGACCCATAGGCAGTGGGGCCCACGTGGAGGGGAGTTAAGCAGAGGATGGACAGGATCAGATTTTCAGTTTGGGAAGAGTAGTCTGACAGATATCTGGAGGATGGATTGGTGTGGGAAGGTTGGGAGACAAGAGGCAAGAAAAGTCCTTTCTTCAACATGTAAGTCAGGCTCTTGAGGGGTCAGGGTTAAAGGTGGGAAAGGGAAGGAACCTGTTCCTTTGTAATGAGGATGCTCAGGTCTGGCTTCTTGGGCTCATCTTGGTGCATATTCAAAGGTTCACCCATAAGGACTCTTGGATATTCAGTTTTGAGTCTTCTGTTTACTCGAATTTCGCTGCATCCCACAGGTAGAATAAAGAAAACATCGGTAAGAAAAATGTCCAAAACACAGGTCTTGTTCTTAATCCACACTCAGCTTAATCTTCAACAACCTTCACTGGAAATGAAAACTGCTATTTGGAGTGATAGAAATAAAGCAGATGTGGGCTTTTGGTGTAGATATACTTTACATTTTATAAAGGATTGCCTGTGTTTTTTCATGATGCTCACACCCTTGTGTTTGGGCATTTTATAGATTAATCTCAACCTAGAGTTTAACTGGCTTGACCCTGGTCACATAGAAAGTGATATATATGTGACATGGATCCAGGTCTATGGATTCTAATTTCAGGACTTTGCCTAAGATACTGTGCTGTGGCTATGCAAACAATCAATGATAAAGTTGAGAATACTGTGCTTTTGGCAGAAAGGAAGATTGATACATTTTTAGCTTCTCAGCAGACCAGAATAATACATTCTCAAGAACATCCAACTTGAAATA